CGGTGTCCCTGACATGCTATAACTCATGCTAACATGTGCTGTTGCACAAACTCACAGCTTCTTCAGCTCACTCTCCAAAGCCACAATGCAATGTAATAACACCTACAGAGAGCTTTTTATGAGACCGTCTCACATAATAATGCTATAAAAGCCAGATTTAAAAGATCGATTGCCATGGACTCCACAGACTTCACTATTTAATGTTTACATAAATGCACCTTTTCTATGGTGTTTTGAGATAATGGGCTCTCCCAAGTCATGGAAGTCAAGGTAACCATCAGCTTGCCCTTCCCCCAGAAGTGGCAGGAAGCAGAGTGCTCTGATGGGATGCTTCTGCCACTTCCCCAGATCCACCTTTGCTGGGATATGGCACAAAGCATCCTGCAAAGACTCATTTGCTACAAGCATAGCCCTCCTGTGAATTCCTCATTCATAGGAGAACTCTCTGGTGTGACAAGAATCCAGCCAACCTTAATGTGCTATTGTTATACAACACTGAAGACAAAAGGAGAAACATTGAGTTGTGGTATGTTTAAGAGTGTTGCCAGAGGAACTGTCTTCTTCCTCAGACTGACTCCATGCTTTGTGCAGCTTACACGCTTTAATTTGCCCATGACTAGGGTAAGCCTAAATCAGCCACTGGCTGACATATCCCATGTATAACAATAATTGCAACCTAGACAAGAGAAACCACTGTTTTCAGAAATATCATTGCATGTCTAAGAGCCTCAAAGGAGGAAAGTAACCCAAGCTGCACCATTTCCAGGCTTCCTCTGGTTGCATATGAAAGCTCTTGGCTATGGGTGGGGCAGCCAGGATTTCCCTGCCCTCATGTCAGTCAGATCAGATTCCAATTTTGGAAACAGTAAGAGCTGATCCTTCTTCACTAGTAACAGAAGGAGAAGGGATAGGAGATGGTGAACATTTCTACCCATTTGCTCTGGAGGGGGAGAATAAGCTGCACAGGAGAAAAGAAAAAGTGATGTGGTATGGCTTAATTGATCTGGGATGAAGAGATACCCCTCATTCAGCAGCCAGAACCCCACTGAGGAATTGCTGGAGATGTATGAATTCTGAGGAGATCCCCTGTTAGTTAATCAGCAGCACTGATTTTGCTGTGCATTCCTCTTTCACTTGTTTAGCTTTGCCCTGCATTAAAACCTGTCAAGCCAGCAAACAAGACAATGTTTTTTGATTAGGCTGCTCAACTGACAATAAACAAGGGCTTGAAGAATTCTCACCTCCAGTAAAGCAGGAGGCAGGTGTGTGATCCTATTGTGATACAGCTAAGGCACATCATTAGGAAAAGAACTTTTTGGGTTGCCTTGACATCACCTTCAGTCCAGAGTTCCCCGTCATCCATACAGTTCACAAAGGCTCAGTTAGGAAGGGCTCTGGAGCTTCACAGAGGAGCCAGCTGTCTCCACTGTGAATATCAAATGTGCAAGCTGTGGACCTTATACTTAAACCCAGCTCTAACTTCACATTCTGCACACATACAGAGGCAGTAATCCCAAGGCAGCAAGGAATTTGTTATTCTTTTGTGGTTTGTGTACCTACATTTTGGAAATAGAAGGGCTTTTTTCATGCCTTTCAAAAAGCTGCTGACCATCCAAACAAACATTAGCAGGCAAGAGAGGACTGTATAAGGATGAGACAGAGGTGATGCATTGTCAGGATCAACTTATTGCTCCTCCATATGCTCTCCCTGGCATCTGAACCATCTTGCCTGTCTTGTTGGACCCTTCTGTACAGGGTTCCACCTGCTAAGCAGTGGGGAGATGGACAGAAGATCACACTTTCTGGCTACGTTCATGTCCCTGGCTTCAACATCTGTCCAATTCTATCTCCTAGGCAAGGAAGCAACAAATGATACATTTCAACTTGCAAAAGCCTGTTGCCATCTTGCATGACAGCCCAGCAGAATGGAAGGAGAGGGTACCACAGCTGGCTGCTGAGCAGCTTCCTCTTGGATTCCTTCTCAGCACCAGGAAGGCAGATGTCTTGACAAGTTGAATGAGCACAAGTGGAAAACAGTGAACACAAACACATCTGTGGTGGTGTCAGACGTAAGATGATGTTGGTGCTGTAAGATGACAATGTTGCTCAACCCTCTTCCCTCTAATGGAGCTACGTCCTCCAGGCGTCAGTAGAGAAGGAGAAAAACTGCCATGCAGCCTGTGAGCAGCTCAGGCTGGTAGATACCAGAAGGGCTCAGCTATACCTAATAGGCACTGTGAAGCACTGCACTAGCCACCTCACCACCAAATTACAGCCCCTCCGAGCAAAGGGAGAAGTTGAGGGATGGACACGAGTATGTCAAAATGCTGGTGTTCGAGGCAGAAAGACGTGTGGAGGGACTGGAGGGGTTGAGGAATAGCCACTCACAGAATTTGCCTGCATCCACCTGAGCCCCCTTGTGTTGGTTTGCATGAGCGTGCAACACAGGACGATAGCCGAACTGACCGGGAACCTCTCGTCCTGAAGGAACCCTGATTATGCCTTTTCTAGGGAGAAGGATAAGTGATCACCCAATACACACTTGTGACCACACATACTCGCGCAGTATTCTCCTTCATGGAGAAAGCTTAATCTTTCTGTTTTCTCCTCCACACAGCCTGCAGCAGCAAGCCTCCTTCTTTCCCCTATTTGCATAAGTGATGATGCAGCCATCCTAATTATCAAGGGAATCCACTGCTCCCCCCTTCCAGCACCTCCCCCTTAGCTGCTGCTCTTTCCCTGCTACGGGTTTTGCTGGCAGATGGAACCGGAGCCTCCTCAGCCCACTGGCTCTTCCTTGAAGAAGAAGAAAGTGACAGCCCTGCAGGCAGCCGAAAGCGGCCGAACCACAGCAGCATGATTAATCTGTCAGTCTGGAGCATCCCAAAGGCCAGCATCAAGGTTGTGCTCACACAGTTAGCTTTACTGGGGGAAAAAGGGGGCACAGGATGGACCAGAGGGGTTGCACTATTGCCCTCACATGGATCAAATACGCTCCCCTCATACTGCTGAGCTGTGCAAGATGCATCTTAAGTCCCCCTTTTTGTACTGCAGTCTAAGTTCAGGGGAAGTTAGATCTGAAGCATCCAGTTGGGGAGTAACCAGACAGCAAGAATATTAGCAAGCTCATACATATGGAAGGATGACCTTACCAGCTCCGCTCAGTGCTCATTCTGCAAATCAGATATGATTTGCAATCAGCCATGGCCATACTTCCCTCCACTTCACCCTCAAGTCCTGTCCTTAGAGCACTGCTTGCATATGTTTTCGTCCATGTTTTTTTGATTTATCTGTCCTACTTCCATACCTATAACCCATTACCTCAGAAAACTAGCAGTTACCCACAATGCCCAGTCTGCCACATATCTATCGCTTTGTTTGTGTCAGGATTGGGTCTTTTACACAGAGGAAGATATATTCTGTCGTGTTATTTGTCTGCCTGTAACAAGGTTGCCGGCAAAGTCCAGACAACAATAACTGCAGCCACAGGAAGGCCCATTTAGCATGGTCTGGTCTCTATGTAACTTGTTTTTACATGCTTGTTTTAATGCATAGCATCAGATGGTCTACCCATGTGATCATCCTTTTCTGTATGCCTGGAGATGCTCCAAAGAGCTGATGAATCATTTGGGATTATAGACAAGAGTGAGTTTAGTTATAGTCCCTGGGGAGAAATGAGGCCTGTGTGGAAGGAAGTAGGACAGGGGAGATGAAAATAGTCTATCAGGAAAGCAAGCCAAAAATCTGCCGGAATACCAAGCAAAATGCAAGCCAGCCTTCTTCCTTACTCCAACCCATGGGCTCCAGCATCCCACAGGCCATCAGCTGAGCTGTCAGTACACAGTCAGCAATTCTAGGATATGCATTTCAGGACTCAGAGCTGCAAAGCACGAAAGTCAGATTTGGAAGTGTGGAATAGAACAGTAAAGGATGGAATTCACATCCATTTCAGACAGTACAAGGAAAGGCTAAGCACCTCCTCCTGTGTCCTGGCCAAGACTCTTTCCTACATTGGTTTTGCTCTGAAAGGACACCAGAGGAAGTCAACCACCCCTTCTCACAGCAGCCTTCTGCGTATGGACTTTCCTGAGTATAGACCCATGACTGAACCAAACCTATTAAAGTTTTAAGGCTGGAGCAAGCTTGCACCACTTTCCTTATCAGGAGACCTGGCTCTGGTATCTTTGCTCAGAGATCACCCTCTTCTCTACCTTCCTGTTGGATCTGTTCTGTCATTTTCTACTCGCTCACTTCCTTCTCACAGCCAGTATCTCAGTTGGACCTGACATGTCCCATCTGCAAATATCCTGATCCAGCCTTTCCAGAGTGGACACAAACATTCACAGCTCCAGCCAGGGAACAGGTAAATTCCCCCCTGCAGATAGATTCTACAAGAGCCTTTCACCAGCCCCTTGTGCCACAAACAATAGCCAGATGGCCTCACCACACGGGGTCCTACCACATTTTGTAAGTGGCAAACGTGCCAACTCTCTCTTCCTTCCTTGTTTTGAAATGCTCACTCTCCCCACAGCACATACACATGCTCTCAGTTGTCCTGCTTTCCACATTCCAGGTTGGCAATTAGAATCTGCAACCTCTGAGCTTCTCCACAAACTGATGAGCTGCTAAAAATACAGCCCCTGCAGGCTCCCATTCAACTTCTATTTCTGTATTTTTTATTATTTATTCCTTTTTACTTTTGACTTCTTTTTTTTTTTTTTTTAACCAATTTGGGACGAACAAAGCACTTCAACAAAAGGGAAGAGAAAATGCTGTGATTGCGAAGATGGATTGCTGCCATTTACTTTGTTCATTTTAATTATACAAAGTCATCACTTAGTGGGGAGCCTTAGGATAGGAAAAGCACAAAGAAGTTGCCATATCCTACCTCTTTACATCACCATGCTCCATTTGAAAGCTTCCTCTGACATCCTGGGCAACAAGACCTGAACTAGTACTTCCATACTCTTAAATCCTTTCACGTTTTATAGGTTACCCACCTGCTGTTAGTCTTCAATCTCTAAGGTCCTTAAGGGTCCCAGTCCTCCTTGTAAAACCATACTGAACCAACAGGAACAAGCAGGCTCTTCACTCCTCCCAGAACTGCTCCACTGCTGCACCACCATCACTCCACAATCACCCTGCAAGGTGTTTATGACCTTCTAACCAGTCCTCTCTTGTTACCTTCTACATTGGCTCCAGCTGGGAGCTGAGCTTGAATACAACTAAGAAGCTTTAGTACAATTAAGAAGTTCAAGGCAGAAAAGTGCAAGCTAGTGCCTGAGTAAGGCCAGGAAGCAGGACAGCTGCCCTTTTTTCTTCTCTAGTAACAAAATCCATCACCTGGGACAAATAGTATTCCCTTTACTGAATCCTTGTTGGCAGACTAATAAAGAGTTAATCCCCCTGAAGTTCTATGTGTTATTCAGGCTGGGATCTACCCCTGCCCATGGCAGGGGGTTGGAACTAGATGATCTTTAAAGGTCCCTTCCAACCCAAACCATTCTATGATCTGTCACTTGGCTAATACGAGGTGTTTTGGAGGAAGCTATCAAACTGAAGCATTGGAATCCACAAGCTGGAGGGTCTAAGGAGGCTGCTGCATGTCTCCTCAGCCAGCATAGGCAGAAGTGATGTGTTCACCTCTCAGTCACTGCAGATCTCAGCTTGATAGACACCAGTTTCAGTGTAACCCAGTACTCCTGCAGAGGCTGAGGGCAGTTTTTGCACTCCCTGTCCTGCAACAAGGCAGTGACATCTGGAAAAGGACATTGTCCATTGGAACAACTGAGCAGAGACCCTGGCAAAATCACTAGATGGATGGACAGGCATTCAGCATGGGCTTTCCAGCAGGGCCGCTTCTGCCAGTCTTTGGGCCTTTCTTCCTCAATTGAACCACTCAGTTTAGATGATGACGAGAGCTTCCTGCACCCCATCGCAGTACTTGTACAGTCAGCAATCACTTTTGGTGGCATTGTTTCTGATGGCAGCATTCCCAAATCTGGTAGCTCTCTTTTATTCTCATAAGGTTGGAGCAAACTTTTGGGTCTTGGGGGACTGAGGGGACTTCAGCCCCTTCTCCCTTTTAACCCTGCTGTTCCTCAGGAATGAGCCTAGCTCCTCCATACAAACTGTCACCAAGTGGCTACTGCTGTGAGTTTGCAGCTTTTTTATTGAGTGGGTTTGGTTTTCACTCAGGAATTCTTATGCCAATTTTCTGGGTAGTTGTGCTTACATATTTTCTCCGCTCACATAATTACCACCTTGTTCTTTGTTTGACATAGATTTTCTCTCTTGTACTTACATCTTCAGTAAACTGTCGCCTTTCTTATTTAACTACGGGGCTTATAGGTATAGGCTTATAGGAGATATTAACCACATATCTTTTCACTGTAGGCCTGTAGGTTCTATTTCCATTTGCTCTGCTTCTTCTGGCATCAGTATTAGCTTTTTCACAGCCAGTATCAGGTCCTTAAACTGGGTTTTGTTCACATGCCCTTCTCATATTTTATATTAGAAAGTAAAGGTAGTATATACTTATACACATATTTATATATGCTCTCCACGTTCTTGGTAATTACTAACATTGTCTAACTTTCAATATTTGCAGCCTTCAACTTTTAATTCTAAGTTTGTTCCCATACTCCTTTATTACTCCCTTTCTTTCTGGATCATGTTCAATAGATAAGACTTTCACAGACACCACGCTGCTACTGTTGTTGTGGTTGCTATTTGCCTTCAGATATTTAGAGCATTTCTTTTAAGGTTTCTTTCTATTCCTTTTCAAACTCACTTGGTAAAGATTTTGTGTTGACCTTCATGAATAAAGGGGGTGGGGGGGAGGGTTCTAATCATTCCACTCATTCCTTCTTTTTCCATGCACAGGTAGAATTAGATTTGGATAAGAGTCAGATTTGCTATTTCTAAGAGAGCTCCTGTAATTTTGTTTCAAAGAAAATTTGATTCCTGAAGATATGCCAAATTTTGGGAACCCTTCACAAAATGACTTCACTTGAACACGGTTTTTTAAAACCAAAGTGATTTGTTTGGAAAATATTGAAAGTAAATTGACCTTGGAAGTCGATTGAAACACAAAAATTGTCACTATCATGAAAGCTGATCCATTTGGTCATTAAAAATCATTGCAGGAGTAACAGAGCTCTGAATTTTAAATGAATGCCGTTAAGAATGAAGATTTCACAGAAGAGGTGAATGTGACAGGATCGAGTAAGTTGGTACTGCAGAAAGATGTGGCAATCCCCTCTCCACAGCCCTAAACTGATGCTTTACCTTGCTCCCAGTTACCTTTACTCATTCCTTTATCTTATCCTTTGCACAGTATTAGCCCTCGTGAAGGTCTAACACTGCTGCAGCACTGCCACCTCCACTATTTGAAGAACAGTTGAACTGGAAGGCTATCTTTCACATAGCAGATGTGGGATAAGCTCTCTTTGTGGCGAGCAACCAAAAAATGACTGAAAGGAGGTGTTAAGGACCATTCATTCAGATGCCCTGTATGACAGACCACAGACAAGTGCATCTATCCTAGCTTTCAGAAAACAAATGACTGTGCATTCCATAAACCCCCACACTCATTTATGGCTCAACATGCTCCTCTGTATTTCAAAACCATCAGCTGAAGTGTTTTCAACAGCTTGTTATCCTGGTGATCCTTCAACTCACTGCCCAGCCAGCAACAAGAACACACTACATATTATGACTGTCAATAGAGAATGGTAACAGCAGCCTGGTCTGGCTGAGCCAGCTTTGGCAGCCTGCTCTTAGCTCTTTGTGCCTCGGTTTCCCTACCACAATAAGGAGAATGCCACTGACCTCCAATCTAAAATGCTTTAAGAATGCTGTTGCCCAGAACTATCTCACAGCATGTTCCGTATCTATGCACAATATGAGATTTGCTCTTCCCCCATTGGTTTATTTTCGAGTTAACCACAGCATTTTGTTGTTTCTCATCACTCAGAGCTATTATTAACACCATTCTGGAGGCATGAAGTGCCTCTACATGCACCTCTGATAATTAGTCTAAAAATCCTGCTGGCGCTGATATAGCTCTTGCAGAATATATTAAGAGTAAAGCCAGTGCCAAAAAGTATTTTGGGACTCAATAAGCACACCTGAGATCAGAAATAGAAAAGGCCAGACAGGATTTTTGCTGCACAGAAGGTGAGCAGGGCAAGGTGGGAGTAAGGAGCACTGCATGTAAAGACTCAGCCTTTTTCCCTATGTAGCTGTTGCAGTCACTGACTCCAAGCCCCCCTCTCCAGCCTGCCCTGGCTCTGGTACAGTAAGGACTCCACAGGGCTATAGGCATCTTATTGCTGTGAGCAGCCTGCTGTCACAGGCTGTACCTGCTTTGCTCACACCTAAAGCTGGCTCTGTTGGGAAATTAAATCTGAGTCACATCCACTCTGTGACTCCCAAAGCTGCGCATGACTTTTAGTAATCCTGGCAGGTTTAGCGTTGCTTCGCTGACCTCTCTAATTCAGGGGCAGATGGTCAAGTCTTGTATATTTGAGGAGGAAGACTCAGAGCTGGCTCTGCACCTCTTTTCTGCAGTACATCCCTCTTGTCTCTCCCCCTCATGTCTCAGGCATGTCTATTCTTAGATCTCTTCAGCAAGTACTTGCAGGGTCAGAGTGTGAGTATGATAGTGGGACAGGGCTGCTGGAAAGGAGTCGGCCTCACCTAAGGACCTGTATCCCTTGCTCACAGCTTCTTCATCCCTTCCTTGCATCCTACGCCCACGCACTCTATCCATGCAGGACCATGGAGGTGAGGAAGAGGCCTTTAGGGACAAATAACCTGGGAAGAAGTACGAAAAGCAGCTGTGGTGATCCCCCTTTTCCTGTGGTCACCCATCAAAGCAATGTGGGTCTCTCTGACACTGGCATGAGATGAGCGATGCTGTATGGGTGGTGAACGCTCCCTTTCTCCCATACATCACCACTGCAGCACTGTACACACTGATTAGCCAGGATTTCCAGGCCAGAATCCTTGACAGGGAGTTTACATGGAGGAAAATGCTATCTCTAAGTGAAGAGCAGCACTTCATTGCTTTTCAATCCTTCTGCTGACGCCAGTTCACAGCCTGCAGCTGACTCCAGAATACACCTAAAAATAAAACAACACCTGGGCCCTCTGCTGCTGGAGAGAACAGCCACAGTCTGCAATCAGCAGTGCTTGTGAGGATGCTCTGAGCACAAAGAGCAGGCAGAGGGTCAGCTCCAGCCCCTCTGCTTCTGCTACTGATTGCAAACATGGGCAATACCTCCTACGGAGCACGTTTCCCTGCTGCTCTAGTGGACATATTGTCATTCCAGTGCCGATCTTTGCTTTGATTGTAATCGTACACAGACACAGAAGAGGAAAGTAATGAGCCTACTGGCATGGAAAACATGCCTGGGAAAATGAGGTCTTAATAGGCAGGGCAGTTTTGGTGTCTTCTGGATGTGGCTTCTATGAGAGTGGTGTAATATGAACAGTAAAACAATCGCAGACACTGCACTGATGTGTAGGCAGGATGGGAAACATCCCTAATGCCCAGGGAGACAGGGATGACTGGTGCATGTGTTATGTATGTAATTGATAGCTTAGACAAGTGAGTTCCAGACTTGGGGTCACAATGCTCATGGTTGCTATAAGGCTGCATGACAGGAGGACTTGCTGTGTTGTCGTACCCTGTTTGACTTGTGTCAAGACTCAGAGGCAGGAAGCAGCTTGAAAACCACTCTTTGAGCAAAACCATAAGCATTAGAGAGGACACAGTGTTTGTGGGAATGAATAAGGGAGAAAAAGAGATGAGGGAGACTTCTTTACACTAACCAACCTCTCCATGGCAGTGAAGGTGAGCATAATGTTCCAAAACCAAATGGAACACACAGATAGGGAACAAATACCACTCATCAATCACAGGTTGGCCCAACTGGGTCACTAGATGCAAGACCTGTGTCACAGTTGCATAAACTGACTGTGGTCCTGGTGCCAAGCAACCTGGTTACACTGGGATGGCATAAGTGAGCTGCGTCTTCCACTTGCATTTCCAGTGTGTCCTTGAACCACGCATGGAACATCACCATGTCTCAGAGGGTTTGAGAGATTTC